TTTCACCCCCCTCTCCTTTCTCTTCCCCCCTCCCCTACCTGTGTAGTAGCGTGGCCGAGCCCAGTATAGTCGGCGGGTACAGAGAGCAGCTGTCTCCGGTACCCGGCCGGACTAACAGGAAGTGCACACAGTGTGTGCACTTCCTGTTAGTCCGGCCGGGTACAGGAGACAGCTGCTCCCTGTACCCGCCGACTATACAGGGCTCGGCCACGCTACAGTGAGGGAGCTGACAGGAGGGAGCGCTGAGCGCTGCCCTCCTGTCAGCCCCTCTCCTCAGGCTGCGCCCGGGCGGTGCGGTCCGCCCTCATGGACGCACCTCCCGGGCAAAGCTGCAGCCGCCTGAGGCTCACTACAGAGCGCTCGGGCGGCTGCAGCATGGGGGGGGGCGGGGGCTGGCCATGGCACCCCCCACCCGGCTGGCACCCGGGGCGGACCGCCCCCTCCGCCCCCCCCTTAGTACGCCACTGGGTAGGGGGTAACCACCTCATACGATTTGTGCAGGGCGGTATCAGTATTCTGATGTAGAGTTTGGAATAGCACAAATTTAGTATATTCTTTCCAGTGGGACAATATATTGAACAGACACTACTCAATCTCACTTACTAAACAAATAATTTGGGTGCACTACCATGTCAGAAAGTCTACCAAACTAAACTAACCTAAATTTTCTATACTGTACTTACTAACTATTCTAAACTCTAACTTAAAGGGACACCAGAACAACTACAGCTTAATGTATAATATACAGCTTAATGTATGGTATACAGCTTAATGTAGTTGTTCTGGTGAGTATAATAGCTCCCTTCAGAGAAAAGGCAGTGTTTACATTGCCCCTAGGGACACCTCCAAGTGAACACTCCTTAGATGGCCACTGGAGGTGCCTCCTGGCTCAGTGCTGCACAGTAAGCAGCTCTGCATGGAGACGCTGAATTTTCCTCATAGAGATGCATTGATTCAATACGTCTCTATGAGGAGGTGCTGATTGGCCAAAACTACATTTGGCCCCCCCCACTTGCCGATTTTAGCCAATCCAATGCTTTCCCAATCAGCCATTTTGATGTCACCAAGGGGGCGGGCCGTGGAGAGTTTTAACCCATTCTGAGGGGGCTAAGGGGGGTGGGGGACCGGAGGGGGGCAAGCCACCTATACATTGGGTTAAACACTATAGGGTCAGGAATACATGTTTGTGTTCCTGACCCTATAGTGATCCTTTAATATCTATAATCATATATAACTTCATTCGCTGTTTATGAAATGTAGGAGCTGCTTAATCTCTGAATTCCAGTTCCGTTTGCCATTTGATGTGTGTTAAGGAAAATGTGGTAGAATTTATGATCACAAATGTCGTAATGAAGAGTGAGTAACTTTGAGTGGGGTGCAGTATGCCAATGAAGATTGGGTGTTTACGGGTACCTGGTATTACAGGTATTAGTCGGTTACAACATTTAAAGGAACACAAACATGCATTAATTTCTCCCCCAAATATAGTAAAATCTTACTTTTATTTAAGTCTGCTGCTGCTGGCTCTGCCCCTAATCTGCGTCCTTGGCTTACATTACTAGAAGTTTTGATCTCAGCCAATCACAATGCTTTTCCATAGGAAAGCATTGGATTGGCTGAGAATGTCAAGAAGGCAGATCAGGGGCAGAGCCAACACAAGCCAAACACAGCCCTGGCCAATCAGCATTTTCTCATAGCGATACATTGAATTAATGCATCTCTATGAGGAAAGTTCAGTGTCTCCATGCAGAGGGTGGAGACACTGAATGTCAGTCACTCTTTGCAGCACTGCCCCAGGAAGCACCTCTAACAGCCATCTGAGGAGTGGCCAGTGAAGTTATCACTAGGCTGCAATGTAAACACTGCATTTTCTCTGAAAAGACAGTGTTTACAGCAAAAAGCCTGAAGGGAATGATTCTACTCACCAGAACAAATTCAATAAACTGTAATGTCCCTTTAAACAATGGCATGAGATTTGTAGTTTAAGAAAAGCTGTTGAGCCTCTGCTTCTTTTTAGCACTGCTTTTTATTTACTGGATTTGTCTGCTAGTCTTATTGTGCTCGATTCTCCCATCCAGGTTCTGGTTTAATGTATGTTTCACTATATCCGAGCTGGTGGGTGGACTGGTGTTTCTGGTGAATAACCAAATTGGTTATTTTTATTTTTACCTACATTTTGCGATTTGTTTCCAGTTTCTTACAATTCACCTTTTAGTTTATAAACCATCATTTCATCAATATGTCTTGCTAATACCATCAGGCTTTAACAGCTAACCTGAGACTCGTGGGGAATTGGCAAGGCATTTACAGATTTAGACCAGAATAGCGGAGTTGTAGAATTTCTCCAATTCCTGCAAGTTTTCCTAGTTTTACCTAAAATATACAATCTGCATATCATGTCTCCACTATTCCCAATGTAGGGCTCATTTCCAGCGTTGTCAGTTTTTAGCGACAAGCCGTTAATAAATAGGCTGTCTGTAACGTTGGTAAATAGCGGCTCTTTCAATAATACAAAGACTTACCAGTTGTGACTTGTAATTACCGTAGAGAATAATAGGAGGTGATCCCAATGTACAGCGCTACGGAAATTAGAAAAAACTGCTACTTGTGACTCATTTCGAGGCCAGGCGCTAGATTCCACCAGCTGCGATATCGCACCGAAATTAAAACCTGACTCCACTAGGGTCAAGACAACCACTACAGATGCTTAATACATCATATAGGAAAAATCTTCATATACATGGCATTACATTTAAAGTCAAAGAGCATCAGCCATCAGAAAGCAAAATGCCAGACACCAGAGACTACAGAGGGTGAGATGTAAGTAATGTGCATGCCATTCAAACGTAAAATTCATATAAAAAGAGGGCCATCACACAGACATGTACCCAGCATAGCACAAAATCACACATACATATACCCAGCCTAGTACAATATCCCACATGCATGTCCCCAGCGTAGTACAAAATCCCACAGCCGTGTACCCAGCCTAGTACAAAATCCCACAGACGTGTACCCGGCGTAGTACAATATCCCACATACATGTACCCAGCCTTGTACAATATCCCACATACATGTACCCAGCCTTGTACAATATCCCACATACATGTACCCAGCCTAGTACAATATCCCACATACGTGTACCCAGCCTAGTACAATATCCCACATACGTGTACCCAGCCTAGTACAATATCCCACATACGTGTACCCAGCCTAGTACAATATCCCACATACGTGTACCCAGCCTAGTACAAAATCCCACAGACGTGTACCCAGCCTAGTACAATATCCAAACATACATGTACCAAGCTTAGTACAATATCCCACATACATGTACCCAGCCTAGTACAATATCCCACATACATGTACCCAGCCTAGTACAATATCCCACATACGTGTACCCAGCCTAGTACAATATCCCACATACGTGTACCCAGCCTAGTACAATATCCCACATACGTGTACCCAGCCTAGTACAAAATCCCACAGACGTGTACCCAGCCTAGTACAATATCCCACATACATGTACCAAGCTTAGTACAATATCCCACATACATGTACCCAAGCTTAGTACAATATCCCACATACATGTACCCAGCATAGTACAAAATCCCACAGCCGTGTACCCAGCCTAGTACAAAATCCCACAGACGTGTACCCAGCGTAGTACAAAATCCCACAGACGGGTACCCAGCGTAGTACAAAATCCCACATACATGTACCCAGCCTAGTACAATATCCCACATACATGTACCCAGCCTAGTACAATATCCCACAGACGTGTACCCAGCCTAGTACAATATCCCACAGACGTGTACCCAGCCTAGTACAATATCCCACATACATGTACCCAGCGTAGTACAATATCCCACATACGTGTACCCAGCCTAGTACAAAATCCCACTTTAGTAGACGTGATCCAGTTGTTTGCTATGGTGTTAAGGTGCAGACAGTATCATCGGGGACAGATCATCGGTTGGAAACCAGCTGCTATTTTCTGGCTTTAGATATTTATCAACTGTTCATTATAACAGCTTACCATAGGTAGTTAATGGCAATAATGAAAATGAGCCCTGAGTGAATACAATTTCTATTTTAATTTCAACCTTTGTGCATGTGAAGTGTGTTGTAACACTGCGCGATTGAGGTCTCTGGTTTAGCTGGACAGATGGCACAATTTGGCATTTTATTATCACAAGTTCTGAATGAGGTAAAAATGGCTTCATGGATTAGCGGTTTTCCAGATGTCTGTAATTTTCTCTGTTTTAAAATGCTAAAATTCAAGAATTACGTCTGAAAAGTCAAGCCGCGTGCGGTTTCCATTGTGTTTTATGACACGTATGTTTTTTGTTTTTTTTACGAACCTAAAAGAGTTCTTCAAAAATTGTATGTATTATTATACATTAAGAAAAATTCTAGCACTTTTGAAATCGATATTCCTAATTATTGTGAGGACAGAGGTGCTTTTTGTGAACTGCGGAATCAAATATATACTATATAAACAAGCTCCAAGCGTCGCTTCAGAAACAATGCTGAGATTTAATTTAAGGCACATTAAAACCTTACAAAAAAAATGTTTTATTAAAAACACTGAGCGTGTGATGCACATCTAGGTCAACCTATACCTGTCATTTAATTCACTTTTAGCACTTAGGCAGACATAAAGCAAATTATTGCGGCCAGAGATTAGCATTCCATGCTACAAATATTCTCGAGGCAAACGACGTCGTACGTCCCAACATTTCTAATGGACGATGAGGGACCCTTTCACTTTAGGGGTGTGGCCAGGGGCGACTGTTCTAAGAAATTTTAGGTGACTTACTAATAAAAATGTATACAACTAAGAAGAAGAACAATGGATCTTATTTACACAGACTGATTTCTAAACAAATGTATTGTATTTTAAAGACACATTACTGGGAGTATTATTGCTGTGGAGCTCTGTTATACACTCAGACACATTACTGGGAGTATTATTGCTGTGGAGCTCTGTTATACACTCAGACATTACTGGGAGTATTATTGCTGTGGAGCTCTGTTATACACTCAGACACATTACTGGGAGTATTATTGCTGTGGAGCTCTGTTATACACTCAGACACACCAACAACACGGAGCTCCTAAAAAAGAGGGACAGAGGGATTTGATTCCAAATATAAGAAACGTTCCATCCTAAGGTCCAATCAAGGTTCAGATGGCTCTCCATGCACTTGGTAGTAGATGGAGGCAGGGTATTTACACTGTAAAGCGTTAAAAATACCAAAAGGAAGAAATAAGGATTTTGTTGCTCTAAAAAGCTCACTAGATATTTATTTCATTTCTATAAGTGCTTGAGATTTACTAATTCCATATCAACCTGTGACCTTACATACATGCGCTGCATTAATTCCAACCCTGTGTGTTACTCTCGAACCTGTACCACGAGCCCTTTATAATGGTTTGTTGAGGGCTATGTGCGTATGTGTATATACATGTATACTGCTTACTGGACTCTTAACACATCCTTCAAATCTCTTGCGCTATTTTACTTGCTTTTGTCAGAGGCTCGTGCACAACCCTTGAGCGTTGAAAGGTTTAAAGTAACTTCTAGCGGACTTGCACAGGAAATCCACGATTGCACAAAATGGCTGCCGCTTACAATGGGAGAATTGGCTTTTGTCGAATTCAGTATTGTATATTTCATTTCTATTTTACAAAGTATTGGTACTGGAAATAAAAAAAAAATAAAAAAATGAAAACAAAAACATTAAATATTGGGTGCGATTATATATTTAAAAGATTTATTTTATATCTGTGTCTCATTTAAAGTCATTGTTTAAATAGCGTCGAAAAGTGAACCTTAATAATAAATAAATCACTACGAGCTTCCGAAATCGGACATGTGTGTCATTTTATCACCAATCACCAGTAAAGGGCGTGTAGGGAGACCTGGAATGGATTTGATATGGAATATTGTTACCAGTAAAGGGTGTGTAGGGAGAGTTCATACCTGGAATGGATTTGAGAAGGAATATTGTCACCAGTAAAGGGCGTGTAGGGAGAGTTCATACCTGGAATGGATTTCATATGGAATATTGTTGTGCCTAATCATTAAATTCATGAAGCACCAATATCCAAAAAGTAATAATCAATTACCTAATAAGGTTTATGACGATATTGGCGGGCACACAACCCAGTTCGAGATGAGTGTCTTGGGCTATAGGAAAAAGAAACCACACAGAGACCAAGTTGCAGATAAGAATTCACACCACAATTTATTGTCCACAAGGGGACCCAATACAGAGTAAGCTTAATTCTCATTAAGCAGTTGCATGCATTCACTTCAAAACAGCTTAGCATCCGGATATATCAGCTTAAGTATACATCACCGTTAGAGGGGCTTGTGTCCTCTGCACTTGACTGGGGAGAACTCTGGCAGTCGGCATGGAGGGACCCTCTCTGGGAACAGCAGAGACCAGCAACACTCGTCCGCATTACAGGTGGGTAGTTCTCCAAGTGAGTGCCAAGTTTCTCCGTCTTTTATACCTTTTAGCAAGTTTGTAACTTTTTCAAGATTTCTTATCAGGACAGCCCAGCATGTATCTTGTCATGCGCATTAAGTAATCAGTATGGTTGATCAGGCCAGTCGTGACCACCCAAGGCTCATGCCAGACACGTGCGGTATCTTATTCTCTCTATGTCCCTACTCTTATCTCTCCATACATTTGTTGGCACCAATTCCCTCTGTTCAGCACGTGGGCCTTTTTGGATATTGGCCAGACATGCTATGGAATATTCCAGGCAATGTTGAATTTCTTAGTGCGACACAGTTTAAGCATTTTATGCAATGTCATCATAGCTGAATTTCTTAGTGCGACACAAGTCGAATTTCTTAGTGCGACACAGTTTAAACCAAGTGCTATCTTAACTATCTATGATAGATTAATTTGCTCATTAGTGATCAATCAATCATTCTTAATTAGTTAATTGGATTTTATCACAATTATCACAAATATTGTCACCAGTAAAGGGCGCGTAGGGAGAGTTCATACCTGGAATGGATTTGATATGGAATATTGTCACCAGTAAAGGGCGCGTAGGGAGAGTTCATACCTGGAATGGATTTGATATGGAATATTGCCACCAGTAAAGGGCGCGTAGGGAGAGTTCATACCTGGAATGGATTTGATATGGAATATTGTCAACAGTAAAGGGCACGTAGGGAGAGTTCATACCTGGAATGGATTTGAGAAGGAATATTGTCACCAGTAAAGGGCGCGTAGGGAGAGTTCATACCTGTAATGGATTTGAGAAGGAATATTGTCACCAGTAAAGGGCGCGTAGGGAGAGTTCATACCTGGAATGGATTTGATATGGAATATTGCCACCAGTAAAGGGCGCGTAGGGAGAGTTCATACCTGGAATGGATTTGATATGAAATATTGTCACCAGTAAAGGGCACGTAGGGAGAGTTCATACCTGGAATGGATTTGAGAAGGAATATTGTCACCAGTAAAGGGTGCGTAGGGAGAGTTCATACCTGGAATGGATTTGATATGGAATATTGTCAACAGTAAAGGGCGCGTAGGGAGAGTTCATACCTGGAATGGATTTGAGAAGGAATATTGTCACCAGTAAAGGGCGCGTAGGGAGAGTTCATACCTGGAATGTATTTGAGAAGGAATATTGTCAACAGTAAAGGCACGTAGGGAGAGTTCATACCTGGAATGGATTTGAGAAGGAATATTGTCACCAGTAAAGGGCGTGTGAGAGTTCATACCTGTAATGTATTTGAGAAGGAATATTGTCACCAGTAAAGGTGTGTAGGGAGAGTTCATACCTGGAATGGATTTGATATGAAATATTGTCACCAGTAAAGGCACGAGGGGAGAGTTCATACCTGGAATGGATTTGATATGGAATATTGTCACCGGTAAAGGGCGCGTAGGGAGAGTTCATACCTGGAATGGATTTGATATGGAATATTGTCACCGGTAAAGGGCGCGTAGGGAGAGTTCATACCTGGAATGGATTTGATATGGAATATTGTCACCGGTAAAGGGCACGTAGGGAGAGTTCATACCTGGAATGGATTTGATATGGAATATTGTCACCGGTAAAGGGCACGTAGGGAGAGTTCATACCTGGAATGGATTTGAGAAGGAATATTGTCACCAGTAAAGGGTGCGTAGGGAGAGTTCATACCTGGAATGGATTTGATATGGAATATTGCCACCAGTAAAGGGCGCGTAGGGAGAGTTCATACCTTGAATGGATTTGATATGGAATATTGTCAACAGTAAAGGGCACGTAGGGAGAGTTCATACCCGGAATGGATTTGAGAAGGAATATTGTCACCAGTAAAGGGCGCGTAGGGAGAGTTCATACCTGTAATGTATTTGAGAAGGAATATTGTCACCAGTAAAGGGCGCGTAGGGAGAGTTCATACCTGAAATGAATTTGATATGGAATATTGCCACCAGTAAAGGGCGCGTAGGGAGAGTTCATACCTGGAATGGATTTGATATGAAATATTGTCACCAGTAAAGGGCACGTAGGGAGAGTTCATACCTGGAATGGATTTGAGAAGGAATATTGTCACCAGTAAAGGGTGCGTAGGGAGAGTTCATACCTGGAATGGATTTGATATGGAATATTGTCACCAGTAAAGGGCGCGTAGGGAGAGTTCATACCTGGAATGGATTTGATATGAAATATTGTCACCAGTAAAGGGCACATAGGGAGAGTTCATACCTGGAATGGATTTGAGAAGGAATATTGTCACCAGTAAAGGGCGCGTAGGGAGAGTTCATACCCGGAATGGATTTGATATGGAATATTGTCAACAGTAAAGGGCGCGTAGGGAGAGTTCATACCTGGAATGGATTTGAGAAGGAATATTGTCACCAGTAAAGGGCGCGTAGGGAGAGTTCATACCTGGAATGGATTTGAGAAGGAATATTGTCACCAGTAAAGGGCGCGTAGGGAGAGTTCATACCTGTAATGTATTTGAGAAGGAATATTGTCACCAGTAAAGGGTGCGTAGGGAGAGTTCATACCCGGAATGGATTTGATATGGAATATTGTCACCAGTAAAGGGCGCGTAGGGAGAGTTCATACCTGGAATGGATTTGAGATGGAATATTGTCACCAGTAAAGGGCGCGTAGGGAGAGTTCATACCTGGAATGGATTTGAGAAGGAATATTGTCACCAGTAAAGGGCGCGTAGGGAGAGTTCATACCTGGAATGGATTTGAGAAGGAATATTGTCACCAGTAAAGGGCGCGTAGGGAGAGTTCATACCTGGAATGGATTTGAGAAGGAATATTGTCACCGGTAAAGGTTGCGTAGGGAGAGTTCATACCCGGAATGGATTTGATATGGAATATTGTCACCGGTAAAGGGCGCGTAGGGAGAGTTCATACCTGGAATGGATTTGAGAAGGAATATTGTCACCAGTAAAGGGCGCGTAGGGAGAGTTCATACCTGGAATGGATTTGAGAAGGAATATTGTCACCAGTAAAGGGCGCGTAGGGAGAGTTCATACCTGGAATGGATTTGAGAAGGAATATTGTCACCGGTAAAGGTTGCGTAGGGAGAGTTCATACCCGGAATGGATTTGATATGGAATATTGTCACCGGTAAAGGGCACGTAGGGAGAGTTCATACCTGGAATGGATTTGATATGGAATATTGTCACCAGTAAAGGGCGCGTAGGGAGAGTTCATACCCGGAATGGATTTGATATGAAATATTGTCACCAGTAAAGGGCGCGTAGGGAGAGTTCATACCCGGAATGGATTTGATATGGAATATTGATACTTATTGCAGAGGCAAAAGGATTTAATAAAGTGGAGAATTAAGAACAAAAGTACAAAACTTCAAACAAAATAGTTAAGTTTAAAAATTAACTGAAAAGAGTGATTTGAAAAATTGTGTGTGTGTGTGTGTATATATATATATATATATATATATATATATATATATATGACCAAGACCATACACATCACTAAGGTCCATGTTTCCAGGGTTGAAGAGATGCATAATCTGAATTAATAAATATAGGAGGTTTCTGCTGTCGTGCACGCTGAGCAGAGGATTGTGGGTAATTACATCTCTCCCGTAGAAAGCCACGGGAGACGCGGCAGTCTCAGAGCCCTCAGCCGTTTATGTGGAGAAAGATCAGGATCCAGAGACTTTTTAGAAGGGATGTTTTAAAATGGTTTAATTTGTACTAAGTGCATACTGACCTCCATTTACTTAGGAGATTACAAACATTAAAATTGAATACTGACAGTCAGATCACGAGTATTCCAACGTGTATGAAAAAAATTATTTTTATATACAAAAATAAATCCCCAAATCACCACCACGGATCCCAATCCATCCTCAGTTGGATGTGTTACATACGTGGCTGAGGTAATCTGTGAGCATGGTGCCACGGAGTATATACTGCTAATTCACAACTCGTTGATTTTCTTTCATAATCTCGTCATTAAAAAGGTAAGTGTTGGTCCCCGACTCCCCGTATTAATATGACAGTGTGCCTAGCGTTGTATTGAACCATGGTATAGTGCCGTCCGTGTTCCCAAGTTAGAATCCATTGAAGATGTGAGTGGTGTTAAAGGGAAATTCCAGTGCCAGGAAAATAATCCATTCTCCCTCCCACCTCCCATCCCAGGTAGCTGAAGGGGTGAAAACCCCTTCAGGTCACTTACCTGAGACCCCGCCGATGTCCCTCGGTGGTGGTTTCGGGTCAGTGTCGCTCCTCCGAGTAATTACGTCAGCCGGTGGGCGAGACTGATCCCGCCGCCTGAGGAAACCTAATGCGCATGCGCGGCAAAGCCGCACACG